GTCCCATATAAAGTAGAGGAAGATGGGCACAGATGTTAGCCCAGGGCCAATCTTCCTCAGCAAAAAGAGGAGGATTGGCAACAGATGTTAGCTCACAGCTAATGTTCCTGATTAAAAAAAAAAAAACCTGAAAGAATCAAAGCTCATTCATTGTTTAAAAAGGAAATCACGGCAGGTAAAACATAAAAAGGCAAAGCTATGTGGGACGTGCCTTCCTCCGGGGTCAAGCTCAGGGCCACAGACAGCCTCAAGACCTCCCACCACCATGGTGCAGGCAGGGAAGAAACCCAGAGAGGTGGACTGACGCCCCAGGCTGGGACTAGCACCTGGGTTTGTGACTCCTGATCCCACATTCTAAAACCACACTGCTTCTGAAGCCTTGTGGCATTTGTCACATGTGCTTTCTACAGTCCAGTTTGTTATGTGCCTGTTACATTTCCCTGATTAGGTGGTCAGCCCCTTAATGTGGACTTCTCTGCACTTCTAGCACGACTAGAGTGTTCTATATCTAGATAAGGCCTTCAGCAATTACCAACCTGGTAAAAAATAAGCACAGGATGCTGGCCATGTGGCTGTAAGTTAAGAATCAAGAATTGTACAGCAAAAGCAAATACAGACAGACGGACAGACATAAGAAGGAAAAATGAAAAGCCGGTGATAGGCTTTGTGAAGAACCGCCGCTGAAATGGAATAAGAGGATGTCAAGGACAACGTTGGTCCAGGCGTTCATCCCACTGACCTTCTCACCTGCCCCCCATCATGGGGGCCATGCCCCAGACCCCTGGCCAAAGGAGGAGTCGGGGATGGGCCCGGCCAAGATGAGTCCCATCCAGAACTGTCCTAAGTGATGGGTAAGGGAGGACACTTTTGCCTCTGGGGAGTGCCTGAAGCAGGAGAGAATAAGCACAGACATGTCACCCCCACGCACGGGGGTGACAGACAGAGGCCCAATGACATCATCGGACCCCTGCATCCAGGGGGCTAGAGTGAGCCCCTCCCTCTCCCTCCCAGTCATGAGAGCTGCTCAATCCCCTGGCCCCTTTCTGCTGCTCTGAGTTGGGTCTGTCACTTAAAGCATAGCTAAGTCAGACTTATGTGCATCAAAAAGGCAGAGACAACCTGGATAAACATTGCAGAAGCAACACTCTGCAGAGCAGAGGTCTGTGCTGAGCCCCCACCCCCACAAGGCAAGATGCTCATAGTCATATATACCCCAGCTGATCAGCCACACGTCAGGACCTCACCAGAGTCCACCGAGGTATGGTCAGACACGCAAAATGACCGACATACAGCATGCGCTCACGATCGCTCGCTCTCTCGCACACGCGCACACACACACGCTAACACACTATTTGGGATACGTAGTATCTATAGCAGAAAGCAATAAGTAATCAGAATAGCCAATTATTATTATTTACCAAGGATTTCAGAAAGCCTCCAGACACCTCCCTGGTAGACAAATTAACACGAGAAGGCTAACCCAACAAGAAGGGATGAACTATTCACCTGGAGAGAGGTGGGTAGGTCATTCATGGGGGATTCTTTGCCACGACTTTTAATCAACAACCACAGCTTCCATCCACTTTCCGCAGACAGGGAGCCAGATCCCCTGCAGAGCCCACTTTCTCCCTAAGACAGAAGGGCCACACCAAAGCAGTAACTGTTTCAGGTACAAATCAGCAATGGTTGCTGATTCTAAAAACATTCCAGGAATCCTAAGTCTTCTGTCCCTAACAAACAGCTTAAAGAAGGCACAATTGGGGGATATAATCTATACAAAAACAGCCTCCATACTTTACTCTCAAAATGTCAAAGGGACCAAAAAGAACACACTTGAATGTGTTTAAATGACTTGCACCTACTGGAACAAGCCTCGTGTGTACGCTTCATTCTCTCCTTGGACAACTGAGTCAAACGGCACTGAAACACAGGTTTCCTCCAATCAGGACGGCAGAAGTAAACCATCGGCCCCGGAAAGGGAGAGGGCCAGCCACAGGAATATTCTGAAATCAGCACGGAGTTCTAGTTCCTGCCTACATTTACATGTCTTCTTTTCTGATCTATGAACACTGCATGGTTTCAATTCAAAGCCTCCTTCCTTTATGAGTCTTGTTTCACAGGCTCAGCAAAACTTTTTTATCACTCCAATTACTTCACTGTTAAAGGAATAAGGCTCGTTGACTGAGTAACCTAGATACTATATCCCAAAGAAGTAGTCTAAAATATAGAATGTGCACAAAGATGTTCACTGTAGCATTATTTATAACAGAATCTAGAAGGAACCACACCAATCAACAACATAAGAGTGGCTAAGTACAACAAGGATTGGCCAGAGAGTAAACATTTAGATGCTGTGGGCCACTCACTATCTGCTGAATCGCTCAACTCTGCCACTGTAGTCACAATCCGGCAGGACAACATATGAGTGAACAGGCAGGGCTGTGTTCCAATGAAACTTTGTTTATATGTTTATAAAAACAGGCAGCAAGCACACAGGCCACAGTTTGTCTGCACCTGAAGCAGAATATTTATAGGCATTAACCAAATACTGAGCAAAAGAACTATGAAACACCATGAAAACCCATTTAACACTAATAAAAAAATGTATGTTCACTATAATCACAAAGATTTGAAAAAACGAAACACAGAAGTGAAAATGGCTGGCAGGGAGTGTGGCCATTTCTTTGGGCGTGGGATCAGGGGGCAGCTCCTCTCTATTTTTAGGACTTCTTTAGCTCAGCCGAGACGGCTCTCAGGGTTGAGCTGGCTGCTCTGACTGAAATGGCAAGTGTCCCCCTGGCCCTCCCCCTCAAGGAGCATCCCTCCAGAATGGGCCCACTCAACTGCAAGGTGAAGACCCAGAGAGAAGGGCGGCACTCTTCAGTCAAGAATATGTTTGACACCACATGATTTCACTCATAAGTGGAAGACAAACCAAGAGACAGAGAGAACTGTTTGGTGGTTACCAGGGGCAAGGGGGGAAGGGATGCATTTATATGGTGACTGACAAACAATGATGTACAACAAAAATTTCACAATACAGAAAAAATTAAAAAAAAAAAAAAATGAATATATTTGAGAGACAGTGGGTAGAATCCCAGAAAAGATAAGAAGCACACAAAGACGCTTCCTAACAGCCATCTCACTAGTAACAGCTTTTCAAGTCACCATGAGGTGATAAAGAGCCAAAGTCAGAGGGTGAGGCCTGGGCCTTGGGGACCCACACCTGCCGCAGCCACGTGAGGGGCTCCCCACTGGAGCTGCTAGTCCAAAAGACCTAGCAAGTGTGGTAAGAAAGGCAAAGGGAAACTGAGAGAGAGACACAACATGGGAGGAGGCTAGGATTGTGAGCGCCTTTTCTGGCTCTGGAACTCACTCACCTCGTACAGCCCCTCGAAGAAAGTGTTCTTGTCCTCCGTGCTCCACGACTCCCACTGCCGCCGGACCTTTTTGCCTTCTTCCTTCTCACCACCCGAAGACCCTAAGTTCCGGGAGGAGGAGCGAGAGCCCCCTGCAGGGGCGGTGGGGGCAACCCCAGACCCATTTCCAGATGACGATCCGCCCCCGTCGGCTCCTTGGAGAGAAAGAATTATACAGTGATCTGTTCCAGAAAGCTGGAGAGGCTCGGGAAGCCCCACCGCCCCGAGGTCCCCCTCCACACCCTTAAACCACTGGCGCTCTAGCAGTACAGCACCCGGGACCTCCCGTGTGCCCAGTGGGGCTGTCCAGTAATGACATCACCCTGCCCTGACCTCATGACTCTTTCAAGTGTTTTTACAGGGAGAAAAAGGAGAAAGAGCGTTTACGGGGAGGCACTGCCAGAGCACAGTGAAAACGTCCACAGCTCTTCTCCCATCTGTGAACAGAAACCGCACATCATATTTCAAAGCATCTCTCTTTTCTAAATGAGGTTTTGGCTGAAATAATCCTATCTTTTCAAATAAATTGAAACCCAAACTCAAAAAAACATTTAAATGTGTGTGAAACACTATCTTCTTTTAGATATAATCAACACTTCAGAATATGAATCATTTGATGCCTAAGAACCTTTAAAAAGTCTTAAAACTCCTTTTTCTTGATCAATTTCCACTAGGAAAACCTGACCACCTCACAAATGCTCCTAAAGCATCAGTTCCTGAACTCATGACCAGGCCCTGAAAACCCCAGTGAAGGGAAGCACAACAAAGTACAACAGGGCCAAGGGCCAAGCGGTGGATGGAGTCTCCGAGGAGAACGGAGGCCATAAACAAGAGGTAAAGGTCACAGATAAAAATGTTTATGACCTAACCCAATCCTCCACCCATCTAGCTCCTTCCTCTCAGAGGGAACGGAACTCCCGGCGTGTCCCTGCCGTAACCAGTATTCTCTTCATGGAACCCCAGGACCATCAAGTGGTGAGAAATCCTCAAACTCTGAACAATGAGGGTAAAAATGAGATCATAAAAATAAAAGTACTTTAAAGAGAAAAAGCCAAACAAATGCAGATTACTGTTAAGACATTTTCCTAATGAGACAATCATTGAGATCCACTTTCTGGTTAACCTGGCGGGGGCCTCCCTGGGCAGCAACGTGCAGCCTGGGGCTCGGGGACACGTTTCCCTCACTCCCTCAATGAGGGTCTGCCTCCAAAGGGTGGATGAAAGATGAGGAGTTTCACAGAAAATCATAAGGAATAAAAGAAATGAAAAATTAAGAGTCCGTCAATCCACAATCGCTTGCCAAAACTATCCCTGGGGAAAACACAAGACGTCAGTGCAGGGGCTGCTTAGGAGACAGGGGGAGGCAGAGTCACTCTCCTGTTACACCTTGCTGTACCTTTCAAAGTGTGTACCATGGAACTGTGCTATTACGCCAAAAGAAGGAGTATCTGAAAACAGTTAATCCCATCAGTCAGCTATCAGAAAGCAGAATGTGGCTTCACACACGCAGAAGAAATTACTCAGCTACCTGGAAGGGGTGTGACTCTCATGTGGAAAGGTGTATCAGGTTAGTGACAGGTTAACTTCATAAGGAAACGTGATCAGGTACCAGAAATTGCTGTTTGTCAGCAATTGTACTGTCCAATTCGACAGCCACTAACCACATGAGGCATTTAAATTTAAATACTGATTAATTTAAATAAAACAAAAAACTCAATTCCTCAGTCACACCAGCCACATTTCTAGTAGTCAATGTCTACATGTGGCTAGTGGCTACTGTGCTGGACAGCACAGAACATTTCTGTCATCACAGAAGCTGTATGTGAATGTTCAATATTCACCGTCCTAAATACATGGTCACAGAATAAGACCTAATCAAGCCCCAAGTAGTTCACGTCTCAGCCTACTTTCCAGCTGCTCCCTTCCCATCTCGTGGGCACAACAGAAATGTAACTCAGGTATCTCTGTGCTACAGAGTGGACTAAGGATGTACTCAACACACGATCTGACTTGGTCCATACTTCACCAAACAAAACCCAAAACATGACCTCATTAATGAACCTAGCACTTCCCAAGATGTTTTCAACAGGTGTGGTAACTTTACAGCACATTTCCAGGGATAACTGGTTTCATTCCATTTCTAGTAAGTCAGAGGTGCTTTTGTTGCGAACTAAAGACCAGGTTATATGGGGCCGGCCCCGTGGCTTGGTGGTTAAGTGAGCGCGCTCCACTGCTGGCGACCCGGGTTCGGATCCCGGGCTCGCACCGACGCGCTGCTTCTCCGGCCATGCTGAGGCCGCGTCCCACATACAGCAACTAGAAGGATGTGCAGCTATGACATACAACTATCTACTGGGGCTTTGGGGGAAAAAATAAATAAATAAAATCTTTAAAAAAAAAAAAAGACCAGGTTATGAATGCCATTTACAACAGCATTCTTAGATACAGGAAGTCCTGGTTGATCTGGAGCCGTAATTCCTCGTGCATGGTAACTTGAGGAAGGGCTGTCTGTTCACCTTGGCACCACCCACAACAAAGGATTTCAGAGCCATTTGCAACTTTTGACAAGACACTCAGTAAACTCTTCTCCCAAATGGCAACTTGCTAACCAGCCCTACAACCACAGCTCAGGTTTCCCTTTGCCAGCCCATGCTGGTATGAGATGGACTTGAAAGTAACAGACATACATTTCTGTTAAGCCAGATGTCTTGCTAGCTTTCATGAGATTTCACTGGATCACAGCGCTGGAGACCCAAGACGAAGAGAATGAACAGTAGGAAAACAGATGGAAGCGTTTCTGAGCTAGAAGGGACCTCAGGGGTGAGCGCAGGAGAAACCAAACCAGTGGATGCGAAAGAAGGTACAACAGTAAAAGTGGCTCTGCCAAGCGCACAAGGCAGCAAACTACAGCTCAGAGCTGCACGCCACTCTCCCCCCGCCAGAGGTCAGCTGCAGAGATGCTCAACTTCCCTTCTGATGTTTTAAAAATGATACATCCTCAGTAGAGAAAAATACAGCAATATAAACATTCAAAAAAGAAAGCGAATCACTCCCAAGTAACCATTTCTAACATTTGGTGCCCATGATTTCAGACCTTAAATGCTTTTAAAGAATAAAGTAGAACCACACAACTTCAGAGTGGAAAGAGAACATGGCATACGATCATCCCCAAACTCAGCTGAGAAAATGGCTTCATAGCTTTACCTCAGGTTTACTCAAGGACTCCAGCTCAAGCAGGAAAGAACAGGAAGCAGGACCAGAGACACTGTGGTACACTGGGCGAGACACTGTGGTACACTGGGCGAGGCTACCCTCAGCACAGAAAAATTCAGATGAAAACAGTGATGAGCAAAGAGAGAAGAGAAGCAAGTGAGGAGCACAGAAGTAGAAAGGAAGGAGGTGGAAAGAGAAGACAATTTTGAACAACACCAGGTGGGAGTGGGTGCAAGAAGCCCAGCAAAAGCAGAGGGCCGAAGTTGACGTTCCATCTGCGACTGTATTTCTGAGGCCACAAAGAGGGTTAGCCAGAGTTTGCGTGATAAGAAGTCGGTATCCAAGAAACCCGAAGGGAAATGACGTACAAGAATAGGGTCCCAACAGTGAGCTCTCTGAAAGGAAGAGCAGTGTCTTACTTTTCCGGGCCCAAGCCTGGCACCAGGCCTTACACACAGCAGATGCTCAATGGGAGCTCGGGAACCAAGGGAGCACAGAGAAGGGGCCTCCGCTGTGCTTGCTCTGCCCCTGCCCACCCCAGGCCCCTGGGACTCGGTGCCTCTAAAACGGAACCCACCCTTCCCCCCAACCCACTTCAGAGCCACAATCCTCCAGCTGCCCCATGCCACCTGGCTTCTCCCCATTCCCATTTCTGCTGCCATTTGCCTAGGCCAGCCTGGTACCACCTCCAAGTAACATACCCTTAACAGCCTCCTTTCTGGTCTCCTAAACCACCAACACCGGCCACAGCCCACTCTCCAGAGCCTGCATTTGAGGGACACAGCTGTGTAGCTTCGATCTGCCTTCCCCAGCTGCCTGCCTGTCTGTCCACTCCACGTCCAGACAAGCCACACTGTCTGCCTCCTCTACACGCTCCCCTCCCATCACACACGCCCCTCACAGCACTTGAAGAGCAGGGAATTCTGCCCGTCCTTCAGCTGGGGAAGCTGAAGCATGGGGGTAGCAGCTTGCCCACCACACCACACAGGTGATTGTGTCCAAGGGCCCAGAAGTAGGGGAACATGGATTTCTACAGCAACTTTAAAGCACGTTCCAACACTTTGCTCCTCTTTGTCCTCACAGTGCGTAGACGAGGAAACTGAGGCTCTAAAAGCACCAAAGCCCCAAGGTCCCAGGCAGCAGGAAGCAAGCCAGAGCCCAAGCCTCTCATTCCAAACCTGGGCGTTCTCCTCTCACGCATACCACACCGTGGGGGCTACTGCCCGTGTCACAGCTGCTTCTGTACTTTTATTATGCAGAGAACTACAAGAATCAAAGGGTTTTAGGGCGGAGGAAACTTGTCTTCGACATCCCTCCCTCAGTATGTGACAAATAAGGAAATCAAGAGGTTCAATGGCTTGCTCGAAGCCACCCGGCTCGTAAGTAGTGGGAGTCAGGGCTCTGGAGGATGTCCACCTCTAAAAACAAAACCCTGTGACTTAATTTAGGTAAGACAGAGAAGAGGTAATGATAATCTGTCATATCACGTAACATCTCACTGTCCTGGAGTCTCCTTTGGAGTTTTTTCCAAGGCTTAGGAACATTAAAATCTCAAGAGTGACAGAAGACCAACGAAACGCCAGGTGTTCAGTAATGCCCCAGGACAAGACGACACGCGAGCCGCACCTGCACTGTGTCCCTTCTCAGCCAGAGGGACGTTTCAGGTTTGGCTAAATGCAAGTGTGTCTCCAGGCATGCCTGCCACCAACCCCACAGAGGAACGCTTCCTCATCACCTGTGTCTATAGCATGAGAGGGCAGGGACCTTTCAGAGGCTGAGGATGGCACACACTGCTCCGTTCCAACATGTCCACGTCAGGTCACCATATGCCATGGCTGAGACAGGAGGCAAAACACCAAGGTCTCCCATAGGGCACTTCTGTGCCTCTCGTCACACATGCCATCCTCATCAGACGCTGGAATGACCAGGTTTGCTTTCAGAG